TTAACTAGGACTGTTCTCAAATTAAAGGATGTTTAATGAATACTGACCTGGCTTTTAAGCATAAATTAGTCAGAGTAAGTATAATTTAATGCTTTGGGGTTGCAACTAAATTGAAGGAGTACAAAATATGTAAAAGTTGCCTCCTAGTTTGTTCCACATCGTACCCCATGTATTATCACAAAAGAAGTATGGGTTCAGTTGTTCCGTTTTTCAGCCCTGTTCATATTTTTTTTAATTGAGGGTTTCTGTGGTTTTGCAGTCAGCTGTAGATTCTAATGCATCCTTGTCTGAAGGGTGAGGATTTCAGGACTGCTAAAACATTCTCCCTTCAGACAAGGAAAGGCCAGAATCTGCAGCTTAAATGTCAAGGCCAATGGACCCAAAGATGAGCCAGGCAGTCACTGAGAATCAGACAGTTTCAAATACTGGGAGGAAGTTAAGTGAGCATGTTAATGTGGAGAGGAATCAGGTTAAAGGATCTGAGCAGTTGAAGTATGTCAGATGCCCCAAGCACTTGTCCCTTAAGCAAGAGGATCTACCTTGAAGGAATCATTTGTTCATTTCAGTTTGGAATGGAGGAGAGGCATTCAGTTTAGAATTGTTAAATAAGAGTCACTGTGGTATGGTGGTTAAGAGTATTTGACTGGGGGCCTGGGAGATTTGACCATGAAGCTCACTGGGCAACTCTGGGAAAATCAGAGTCTCACCCTAACCTACCTCACAGGAAGAGTCAAAGTGCCCAGTTTTAACAGTATAGTGGGCATTATGGAAATCTGGTGGAATAGAGAGAAGTAGTGGGATATGGTCAGGGAAGGGTCTATGGGAGAAACTTGCTCAGTATATTAAAGAGGACATAATGTCAAGCAGTCTAAAGGTGCAAACTCTTCCATGGAAGCACTGTGGCTGACACTTTTGGCCCCAAAAACTAATTTAGTAATTGTTGTTCAGTTGCAAAGTTGCATCTGACTCTTTGCAACCCCATGGACAACATTCCTCCAGGTTCCCCTGTCCTTCACCAATCCTCGCAGTCCACCCAGCCTCACACCCACCTCCCCAGTGGCCCCATCCAGACACCTCAGTCTCAGCCGTCTCCTTCAATCATTCCCAGCATCAGGATCCTTTCCAATGAGTCCTTCCTTCTCATTAGGTGGCCAAGTATTTGAGCTTCAGCACCTGTCCTTCTGAAGAACAGTCAGGGTTGATTTCCTTTAGGACTGGCTGATTTGATCTCTTTGTTGTCCGAGGGACTCTCAGTAGTCTTCTCCAACACCACAATTCAAAAGTGTAAATTCTTCAGTGTTAGCCATCTTTATGATCTAACTCTCACAGCCATACATTCCAACTGGGAAAACCATAGCTTTGACTATATGAACTTTTTGTCGGCAGGTTGTAGTAAAACATTTACTATAATACAGAAAGAAGCAACTAAAATGTTCAAGGGCTGGAAGAACTCTCCTATGAGGAAAGGTTACAGCATCTGGAATTGGTTAGCTATGGAAAGGCAAATAAGGGGAGGCATGGTAGAGATGTATAAAACTATGCAAACTGTGAAAAAGTGGATAAGGAGTAAAATTTCTTCTTTATAATACTAGAACCTGAGTTCATGCTACAAAAGTGATTGATGGGAGACTCAGGAAAAAGGAAAGGAGGTATTTCTTTACACAGCACGTGGTTAAACTTTGGAATTCATTTCCATATATGTAATGATGGCCACTAGTTGGATGGCTTTAAAAGGACAAATTAGTGGAGGATTAGGCAGATAATGGCTGCTAGTCCTGATGACTGTATGCTGTGTCCAATATGAGAGACAGTATGTCTGTGTACACCAGTTAGTAGGAAACTTGGGTAGAACACTTCTATTGTATCCATATCCTGCATGCAGGGTTCCTGTGGACCTCTGGCCATGTATGAACAGAATGCTGGGTTGGATAGACCCTTCATCTGATCCAATAGAAGTCTTTTTATGTTCTGTCTGTCTTTACTAAAATAGAGTAGTGCTTGTGAATAATTGTGAGTAGAAATATGAGTATATATGTTAGATCAGCCTTGAACATAACATCTGTCCACCTTGAAGACTTGTATAGTTAGCATAGTCATCCTTTTACTTGGATCTTTAGGAGGATATTGGCCAAGAATGTTTTTAATCAACACTGTCTGTGAGATTTTTTGTCAACCTTTCTTCAAATTAAGGCTTGGTAGGAGATACCTCTATTGTTATATCCTGAGCGTAAAGCAGCCTTCCTGAATCCAGTCCCCTCCAGCTACTTTTAATGTTAACTTCTAGTTTTCTTGACCATTTGCCATGCTTATAGGGAATAATGGAAGTTGCATTCCAACTCATCTGAAATGCACCAGTTTGGGAAAGTCTGGGTTATCCTTTTGCCAGCATCAAAGCTTGAAAACATTCAAATATATATAAATCTCCTGCTGAGGTGAGGGATAATGCAATAGTAGGACTCATGCTTTGTATGCAAAAGGTCCCATGCTCATTCTCTGGCATCTCCAGGTAGGACTTGGAGAATTCTCTTCCTGAAAACTTGGAAAGCTGCTACCAGCCAGTGTATGCAATGCTGCACTAAATGGGCCAATGGTCAGATTACGTATAAGGTACCTTTCTGTAGTTTTTGCTCCATGACCTTGTTTCCTGCCCCTTTACACCCGCTGACTGGCACAACTGGAGCATTGGTCAATTATAGCAGGTTATGGAAGAAGTGGAAGACCAGGCCTGGAAGAGAATAGGCTGGTGAAGTTGAGCATATGGATGTTTTTCAGTTTTGAATCTGGCATCAGTGTTAGGCTAGGTTAAAATAGTATAATCTTGATGTGGCTTCCCATGGTATATAGTCAGTCGCATGAATCCTGTGCTCTAATGGGCTGGTTTGAATATAATGCTAAACTGTAGTTTGACATTTTAAGAACAAACCAGAGACCTTAGACTCATATGCACCCTACTGCTTTTCTATTGGATCTGTAAGGAACAGTTTAAAAGTTTTGGCTTCTGGTTAGTTTAACCACAGCTTTCTGGGTCATTTGTACCCAGACAAACTGTGGTTAATCTTAATTATGATTAGTAGAAACAACCCAATTTCATACTATAGTTCAGGCAGCTGGCTTTTTTCAGCTTACCATTGTTAAGATTAACCACAGTTTAGAGTTCAGACACAAGAATAAACTAGTTAATCCAAAACAGAAGAGGAAGCTTCAAATGACACATGTGTGCCATAAAAGGCTGGAGGAGGAAGCCTACAAGCCTAAAGCTTCCTAAGGCTCATGTTTATAATATTAAACCTTGAAAATATTACATTTGAATACAGCCATTGTTTTCACTGATCCTAGTAGCCATTTGGAAAATGGTAAGTTAGAAGTTTTGTATGATTGATGTAGTAGTTGTAGCAATAAAAGACAGCTTATGCACATTTCAAGATGAAACGTATATTTAGCGTTGCTATATAATAGTGTAAGACAGACTTCTGTCTAGCTATTTCATATAACTGACACTAAAAAGAGTGCCGAATGTTTCTTCAAAGACCAGGAATAAGTTCAGTATGCTCTTACATCTGTGATATGCTGGATGGAAGCAGTTGCTTCTCTGGACAACTGAGTAAAGAGTTTTCTTAGTAGCTCTCATATGATTGGTTTCATTATCTGCTACTGATAACTTTTGTCTTATTGCCAATTTTAGTGTTTTGATTTTCATGATCAAACAGAACAGAATAGAATTGTCTGCATCTGTGATGCATACATCCATAGCTTAAAAAAAACAGATTCATATAGTATCATTCTCTAAAATATGACTGACAGTTTCTTGGTTTAGGAAAGATTGGGATTCTTTAGAAGCTGTTTCAACAGTGCTTCATCTTGAAGTGGGAGTTTATATGGGACCTGAAAGTTCCACCCCTTCCTGACTTTCAGCCAAGCCCTGCTCTGGGTTGGTGCTTATACATGTTTTCCCCTCCTTGCAAGTAGTCTTGTATGTAACTAGCCCAGGCACTTAACTGGTGGTCCAGAAACTGCTATCTGGCTCTCCTGTGATGCTAGTGCTGATGAGGGGCTTTCTTAGAGCTGAGGCACCTGAACACCTGCTGTAGAGACATCCATTTCTGAGGCAGGGAAGTCAGATAGATTCTCAGAGATTCTAGGGAGCTCTTACTTCTCCTGCTCCTCCTCTAAAGAGTCCTCAGGGTCAAGGTCTGGGCAGAGAAAAATCCCAGGAAACACTGATAGGGCTTATATATGGAAAATATATGAACTTCTACACTAGGATTAGCCAACACTTTCACTGTCTACTCTATTTTAAATTGGGTTGCTATGCCATCATATGTACTTGGCAAATTTGGATCTGGGTAAGATTAACTAATAAAATGATTTTTAGAAAATGTGCCATCTTTTCAGTCTGGTCACTGTTTGTGTTTCTTTTAGTATCTCCTGAAGCAGTTGGATTTCTGTCAGCAGTTGGGCTGTTCATTATCCTGATGTTGATTCTTTTTCTGTATCTTAACAAGAAGATGTGTTTTGAAAATGTTGGAGGCTTCCCAGACTTCAATTCACGATACAATGCCAGAAAAAATTCACAGGACAAACTTTGTAAGTACCAAATTCTATGTACAATTTTGAAAGATGTACTGGATCCCTAGTGTAATATCATATAAAAGAATAAAAATTCAGCTTCAATAGGAAAATATGCTGTACAGTCTAAAATAATTTTGTAAATCCATCTGTAGTGCTTAGTCAGAATTGTGTATTCATGGGTATCTTTTAATCTAATTTATGGCTTCATTTTTAGATAGTAGAAAGAAATTAATAGTATTATCTTTCCAAAGTACAATTAAGAAAGAATAATTACAGGGCAGTCCACATAACAGCTTGCAATGTGTACCAGGGAAGCCAAACAATTGTACTTTCCCTGTTCCAAGAAGCATCTTTTACATTTTTTAATCACGAAAATGATAAGATGGACCTCTTTTATTTACAAGTTAGTGCAATCTACAGTTTATTGAAGTCACAAAACATGGTAATCCTAAACAAATTGGATAGTATTACATGGGAATGAACCAGCATAACTAGAAATACTTAAACCCGTTGATTTTGGCAGGCTTCTGTGCTTTTGTCTGGGTAGATCATTGCCTTTGGGTTAACACAAAGGTAAGAATGAAGTTCATGCCAAGGTGTACTTCATAGTTTCTTAGTGAAGAAGAATAGAAGGTACATGACATTGGGCAGATTACTATTAGGAGAAAATAATATACATGTATTTATAGTATATTATTTAAATATGTTTAAACCTTTTCTTTGCAGGTATAGAGTAAAACTCACTACTTTCCATATAATATTATACATGTCTGTTTATCTTACGATTAGTTTATTAGAATTAATAATTTACAAGATAGAAGAAGACATTAAGTGATTCTTATTGGAAAACATTGGTTCATATTTAAACTTACAAGAAAAAGGGATTAAGTGGACCAAGAAAAAGGAATTTAGTGGACCAACCAGCATTGCCCTCAGGTTAGCAGATAGGAAGTAGAAAAGCTAAATGAATAACACCAAGTAGCTCTCCTCCAAACTATTGATTTATTAATAGACAACTAAAACATGGCATTTTTCAAGCATTTTCAGCAAAATCTGAGTCTTCCTTCCATGTCTTCTTTTGTTGACACACTAAGTAATGCTGTTGATGATCTAACCAGTGCTGTTGGAGATGTCAGCTACACAGTAGCTGACTCAGTTACAGAGCAGGTAACAAGTATGATCAACAGCCTTAGGACAGATGATACAGTTACAATACAAGATGATAAATGTGTAGTAGGTAAGGAAAAAAATAGACCACAATTAAATCATGATAAAGAATTGGATGTGAGAGGAAAAGGGTACAATGCAGAAGAAAAAAATAAGCACATTGATTTTTCAAAACAATGTAAAAATGATGGTAGAGAATTCAATTATAACAAAGATCAAATACAATATCAGCCAAATACTAGTGAAACTAATGAACCTTTTCATGAAGCAGAAGTTTGTGAGGCAGTGAATAATTCAGTAAAAGATACAAAAAAAAGACGTCCAGGAAGTGACTACTTGGAAAAAGTTACCTTTCCAAAAGATTTTAGGCAGGACTGTAATATATCTGGACAAAAACAATCCCTTAATAAAGAGTCACATACATTGTTCGAACAATCTAAGGATCATTTGCATAAAAGAGTCAAACAAATACCATCAGGAGTTGACCTCAAGAACACCAAAAAGGTATATGGTGTTGCATCCAGGAATTTGGAAGCAAAAGAAGAGGAAACACCAAAATTGCCAGAGTCAAGTTCTAAACAAGTACATGGTGTTCATGAAGTAAAAGGAGAGACATGTAAAACATTTTCTGATGGCCACAGACAGTCTGTGACAAAGCAGGAAGAAAATGTGCCATCAACTCTTTCAAAGGAAAGTGAAAAGAGAAAGATTAAGAAATCAGAAGGTTTTTCAAAAGAAGTGAGTAGTAAGAAGATACCAGAAAAAGGTGAGGTACCTTATATCCTATTTTATCTATTTGGCCTTTCCTGGATCTTTTACTACATACTACTTTTCTCTACTGCATGTGGAATTCATTCGTAATGATCTATAAAACAATCCTTTGTGTGGAAACTCTTTATTTTGTGAGTGTGCACAATTTGCTGTGTTAGATCTGTGGCTGTGTGAGTAGAAGACACCTTGCACACTGATCTTTCTGTTCCCTTTCTCCTTGTAGCTCTCTGAAAAGTCTGTCCAAAGCTGGAGGCTCTTGCAGGTCTTCAGTGCAAGGGGAGAATCGCCTGAGGGTGGGTGGAGGAATTTTATGCTAGCTGTAGCCTTATTTAGGAGTGTTGAACTGTGTAGTATTTACACATGAGAAGAGGAAGCAGGGAAGAGCATGGTAGTTTTGCCAACTCTGACACAATTCACCTTGCCTTCAACTGGTAGAGATCAACTGCCTGCAGTGGAGAGCCTTCAGTATCCGTAGTGTTTCTCCATGTAATTTTAAACCCTGATTTTCCAAAGTTCTAGAAGAATAGGCATTTCACAAAAAACCTTCCACATTAGGAAAATGATATTATAGAGGCAACAGAGCTGTTACGTTCTTCCATTCTCTGTAGATCCTAGGGAATCTGTTGGTGCAAGATTTCTCCACTCTGTTTCAAGCAATTTCCAGTTTGAAATTTAGCCTTGTATAACAAAGCTTCCACTTTTCAGGAGGGCCTCCTGAACTTCTGGAGAGGTTTTCATGGAGCTGCATGGAAGAGCTAGGGGAGAGAAAGATTGGTTGCATAAGTTGCCTTCTGCTCATTCAATCACTTAAAACACATGTAAAATAAATTTATTTATATTCCTTGAAAACTGATTACATAGTTCTCCATTCTGATTGATACTACTTATTTCTGCTACTTATTTCTACTATGCTTTTCCATTTCTCCTTCTATTCTGTTGAATTTTGCTAAACCTGTTAATTTTTTAAATGATTCTAAAGTGTTTTGACCTACATACAGCCTTTATCAGAGAAAACGAGAAAATAACAATTTACAAAGTCAGCCTAAAAGATATTATCTAAAAACCAGTCCAAGAATAAAATGATAGTATATTTATAAAAATAATTGAGGAAAAGTAAAAGTCAAGTCAAATTTTTGCAGAAATCTATGAAGCTGAAGATTGGTCTAAAGGCTTCAGTTCAACAAGTCAAGTAAATGAAAATAAACACTTTCATCATGTTTCAGAAAAGTTTTATAAATAGGAGTTTTACTGATAGAAAGTAGGGCAACAAAGGGGAGGAAAACATAATCATGTGCATGAAGAGAACAATGTTTCCAATCCTAACCAGTCATAACAAAAGTTAATATTCAGGTAACTACAACTCTCCATCCTTTAAAAAGCCTAATTGTTTTCTCACTACATGTTCTGTGCTGTCTCTAGGAATGATGGAAACACAAAATACATTTATGTTACTTATTTTTAAGTTTGAGCCAATTCTGTTAACAGGTGAATTATATTATCTTCTGTTTAGAAAATGTATTAATGCTCACATATTTAAACAATACAATTTTAGCAATCTTCCTTATGGTGCCATCTGTTACCTTTTTTATTTTGTATTTTCCAAAATAGACAACTCTTACATAAATAAAGATCAGCATGGTTCATCATCTGAAAGTGAAGATGAGGCACTGGGTAAATACCATGAAGCCTTGTCCAGAACACAAAGTTCAAGGCCATCAGCAGGCGATAGCAGACAACAAAAAAACTACATTTGGGAAACAAGACAGAAATACAGTCCTCTCTCTGCCGAGTATGACGGCTACAGTAGTGAAGCCTCAATAGATGAAGGTATGAATGATTTGCAACAGTTTTTATTTTATCTTCTTTCACATATATTAAAACTGCACTAGATAAAATTGAAGTTACTAGACAGAATCTCTTATTGTAGCAGCATATTCAAAGATTATATGCGTAGGCCTTGACGTAATTAGGAATTTGTGGGACAGAACTGGATTGGTTATACTGCGCAGTTCTGTATGTATCAGAAGTGAGTCCTGTTATATTAAATGGTGCTTAAAAGGTAAAGGTTTCCCCTTGACATTAAGTCCAGTCATGCCTGACTCTAGGGGGCGGTGCTCATCTCCGTTTCCTAGCCGAGGGAGCCAGTGTTTGTCCGCAGACAGTCTCTGTGGCCATGTGACTGGCATGACTAAACACCGAAGTGCACAGAATGCTGTTACCTGCCCACCGAAGTGGTACCTTTTTATCTACTTGCATTTGCATGCTTTCAAACTGCAAGGTCGGCAGGAGCTGGGATGGAGCAATGGGAACTCACCCCGTTGTGCAGATTTGAACCAGCAACCTTTCGATCTACCAGCCCAGCAGCACAGCAGTTTAAACCACTGCGCCACCTGCAGTCCCAAATGGTGCTTACTCCCAAGTTAAAAAGCATAGGATACTTAAAAAGCATAGGAAGAAAGGATTTTTCTTTCTGAGTGCTCATACATATGAAAAATAAAAATAAGTTTCAACATTAAAATAATTGCAAAATAATGTTTGAGGCACCATTCAGACCTGTGCAATAAACAATATGCAAAAAGTTGCATTGTCCAGCTTGATGAAAATAGATTTGAAAAATAATAGTCACTTGACATTGCATTATCTCTGCATTCATGGGATCCATTGTTTAAAATCATCCTTTCAAACATTTTAACTGTCTGATATTGACTAGGGCATCAGTATCCCTTTGTAATACCTACCCCCCTCATAAGAACTCACCTTCTAGTACTTCTAAAGTTAATACTGAAAATTTTACTTGATATATCAACATTAACAGTTGGCGTAAGTCACTTCAGGCCCAATGTGCTGTTTGGTTTTCTAGGCACTGTCAAGTGTACACTCCGGCCAATAACAGCTAATGTGGGTAGACAGGAATTAGATATTTTGGTCTACTGGAAAGAATCCAAATAAGCAGCTTCATCCAAGAAAGCCTGAAGTTGAGTCACCACAGCTCATTCTAGAAAGGAGTTTTGGAGGATGGATGAAACATCTCTAGAGGGATTGGATGCAGTGATGCTTTTTTGAAAAAAATGATCTAATAAATCTACCACTCAGTCACTCAGCTGACCAGTCCCCCTCTGGCAGCCAGCCTTTGCTAATCAGGATGGACAAGGGTCCAACAAGTAGTTGGACTCATTCTTCCAAGCAATTTGTCCACATCCTCAAGTTGATCAAGATGAAACTCATTAATCAAGAATGGACAAGTGGATTCTATAATCACAGCCCCAAGTTCCCAATCAGAATGGATGTTACCAATTTTATTAGCAAGGTGTTTAGTAAACTTCACAGTGAGTTATCAATAGCATCTTCTCACTCCTCTGGGGCCAGAATGTCACAGTCCCTTCATTTATTTCATTCTAGCATGGCTTTCTACCAAGGAAATGGTGTTAAAGATGTTTACAGTTCAAAACAGCTCTGCTGGATGGCACTGTGCTAACTCAATTGTGGCAAAGGAGAACAATTGTGCTCCTGTCATCTCAGTGTAATAGGCCTTAAAATTGTCTGTAGATCTGTTTGGTGAGATTTATTTTGACATTTCCTGCAGCAATGTTCTATCTGTCTATCTTAGATTCACACTGTCCTAGGCTTTTCAAAAATCTAAGGTGCACTGAACTCTGTGCAGGAGAGGATCCTTATAAGGGATCATGTCAGCCACGTGGGTCACCTCCCCATTTCACAGGTCAACCAGATTGGCAGTTCTAGTGTCAGGAAACACCCCCCCCCCCCCGGAACATTCACAAATCTTACTGGATTCATTAGTTTCTAGGGGCTGATCATTTTAATAGATCCCTCACCCATTCAGGTGCTGTGATTAAGTGATTTACACTGACAATAGAACACTTACAGTTTTATTTAAGCATGTGCTTAGGAAGTGGCCTTAACGGACTGTGATGCCCTAGGTGGTCTCTTCTATTTACCCAAAATAGGCTAACCTGTGAATGTGAGATGAAAAAACTCTGTTTTGCATCAACCTGAGCATTGCAAATTTAAGCGTGTCATTTCTTATGCTGGGCTGATTGTTTTCTAAAAGGAATTCAATGATTGTAAAGTTCAAATATATTTTTTCAGTATCTTTACTGGGCTAAGAATGCAGTGATATTTCCAACACTTTTCTATGTCATTAGTATTAGAAACTTTTAAACAAAAAGTGGAGGTATTCAGAATTACTGGAATGTTGGAATATTTCATCTGATAATAAATGGAATGGCAAGTAAAATATACAATATATGATGATTTGTAGTATCTCTGATAAAACATGTTCTGATGGGGATTATAAGGTCACTCTTGTCATAAACTGACTATTCTACATGTGCTGACCCTACTATGTTCTTAGAGGGGTAGAAACCCTAGGAATGATCAGGTAGAGCTGTGGAAACAGTGCAGATAGTCTAATTGACACAGGGATTATATTGTAAAGGCTCAGCAAAGAAGTGGGTCCACAAGAGTCTCCAAAGCAGCGCCAAGCTGTGACATTTGTCCTTAGACTATTTCTTCTACTCTTAGATGACTTCTAAAAGGGAAGTAGAAAACTATTTAGTTTCTTTCCACTTATGGCCATGATTAGAATCATAGAATCACAGAATTGCAGAATAGCAGATAAACCAGAAGGCCATCAGGGCCAGCCCTCTGCTCATTGCAGGACTTTTAAGTGAATCATATCTCTCAGATGTCCAGTTACATCTTGAATGCCTCTAGTTGAGGAGAGACCACAACCTCCCTTTTTCATTGGTTCTATTGTTGTACTGTTTTAACAGTTAGGAAGTTCTTCCTGATGTTTGGCTGGAATCTAGTTTGCTATAACTGGAGCCCACTGTTCCAGGTCCTGCTCTCTGGGACAATCAAGAAGAGATCCTGCAGCCTAAACTAGCATTTACTCTTTTTGAAGCCACATCACATTGTTGTCTCATGTTCACCTTGTGATCTAGAGCAATTCCAAGATGCTTCTCACTTGTAGTATTGTTGAGCCAAGTATTCCCAACTTGTAATTATATATTTGGTTTCTTTTTCCTAACACTTGTCCCTGCTGAATCTTGTTCTGTTGATTTCAGCCCAGTGCTCCAACCTACCAAGATCATCTTGAATCTTGTTTCTCTCTTCCAGAGGATTAGCTATCCCACCCAGTTTTGTGCCGTCTCCAAATTTGATGTGTTTACTGTACTTCCTCATCCAAATCATTAATTAAGATGTTGAAAAGCACTGGGTCTAGGACTGAACCCTGTTGTACCCCACTTGTGACCTCTCCCCAGTTTGAGAAGATGTCATTGATGAGCACTGTTTTGAGTCTGATTTTGTAGCCAACTGTGGATCCACCTGATAGTTGTTCCTTGTAGTCCTCTTTTAATTAGTTTGCTAATCAGGATATCATGAGGCACTTTGTCAAAAGCTTTCCTGAAGACAAGATAGATTATATCCACAGCATCCCTACAGTCACCCAGAGAGGTTACCCAATCAAACAAAGAAATCAGATTAGCCTGGCAGGATTTGTTCTTGACCAATCCATGTTGGCTTCTAGTAACCACTGTATTGTTTTCAAAGTGTTTGAAGCCTGCTTTTTTATCTGCTTAATGTTTGTTGGGGCAAAAGTAAAAACAACAAACAGATAAGCAATCCTAGATTGAGAGAGAAGGAAGATGAAATTTTTATTTTTTAAAAAGACATTGATTATTTTATGTAAACCTGTTCTTCCCCAACAAAGAGCTGGGAATATCCTAAAAGAATGAGAGTTCTTAAATATTGCGCTCAGTATTCATGCATTCTCAAAGATGTTGGTTAAAGTTTATCTGCGGAGTGTTTTCTCTATGCTTTGTGTTTGTATATCCAGAAAGGAGCTATGAGGAACGGTGCAAAGGGTTCACTGAAGGGGAAAAACAGTATGGCATAAGTAAACAAGGAAAAAGGGCAGCATGTATAGTACCAGGAAAGGACTGTAACTATAACTTGGGAAAAGGCAGTGGAGTAGACTGCTGCTTTGGCCTTCAGTACATGCAAGACCTTTTTTGGGGCTTTTATGTTAGGAATAAGTGTAATCAGTCTGTGCCATAAGGGAAAATATTCCACAATACTTGAATTTGTTTGGAAGCCTGTTCTCTGTTGTAGCCCTCAGGAGCTATAAGAAAGAATAACTGTAGAGGGCACAAAAATTAATTTATTTAACAGTGTGATGTTTATACATATTTGCTCATGTTTTATATAATAATGTGGAATCACAATGCAAAATAACTTTTTTCTTTAGTGACCCATTTTAATTATTTTGCCCCATGTACATAATGAAATGCCTTATTTATGAGTGTAGTCAAGTTCACATTAAGCTCCCAATAGCTTGCAGAACTGATTATTTATTGATCCTCTCAGGGTTTTAGCAATTTGTGACATTATGGATAATTGCTGGATTCCTTATGGTTATTCATTGAATATAGCTGAATTTTCTGCTCATTTCTCATAGAACAGGGAGGGATGACTAGTCACTGTCTCTATGGCTCCATATGATGTCCTCTAGAATTTAATGGTATTCTTCTTTTTCCCCATACCAACTCAATGTATAAATATTGGTTGGCAGTGTGTGGCAGCTTGCAATTATAAGCCATTAGTTTTCTGATTACTATCAACTCTATTTCTCTTTTTCACCCATTCTAAAGATCATGTGCTTATGTATTATGTGGCTACTGTGAAAACTGGATTTGCATTTAATAATGTTGAATCCATGCTGAAGTAAATGATAAGACTTAGGTAAATTATAATCAGGAGGCTTTGTGACTTGGGAATGTGGGGAGCAGAACTTAAATGTATTG